CTGCGTCGAAACGCGAAAAGACCAGTGAGGGGTTGTTGTCTCGTTACGCGCGTCTTCTGTTCTCTCAGCCCTTCGCTTCTCTTGCGCGTTTCTCTTTTCTTTTCTTTTTCTTTTTTTCTTTTTTTTTTTTTAGTTTACTCCGTCCTAACGACGCCGCGATAATTAACCCTTTCTGCCGCGATTCATTACGTTCTGCGGAATTTTGTTTTTTTACGATTCGCGCAACGATAATACTAACATAATAATGATTTTTTGGTTTGTTGCTCTCATATATATATATACAATATATTTATATTTTATATTCATATATATATATATATATTTAAATATCATATTAAGTATTTAAGTATTAACACATAATAGTATAATTAATATAATAATATAAGATATATATAATAATAAGTATCTGTTAAAAAATCTATCAAAATTTAATGTAAACTCCATATAAAAAATTGCATTTTAATTTAAATTTCTATAGAAAATCGACAGATTTTTATTCAATTATAACAATAATTAAATATTAGCAACAAAAGCATACGAATTTGTAATTTCATTCTGAATCAAACGGACCGAATGTTCGCGATGCATCGGCAGACAGGAAACGTTGATCCCTCGATTTTTCTCGCACAGCCAAAGCGACCAGCGAAGACCACAAAGAGCGTCGTGCATGCAGATTGTTGCAAAACGAAACGCGACCCCCGATGCGCCGTGGGGTTCCTTCTCCCTGCCGATCGAAATATAGCCTAAGGAAGGGTACGGTCGAACGTATACAGCTATATTATAGCCCCTTTCTCGCTGCCGGCATTCGGTTCGTGAGTCATCCCCTCGTGCTTATCCCCCCCACCCCGGATTCCCCCCTGGATTCACCCCCGAGTGTGACGTCACTTCGCAGTTCCCCACCCGCGGCCATCGTCGAAATCATGTCATCGTTCGGTTATTATGCAAGGGGGCTGGAAATGGTTCGCTGTCTCGCGACGTTCATCCGGGGATTCTTCGTATTCTTCTTCTTCTTCTTCTTCTTTGTCGACGTCGTCGACATCGTTGTTTCTGTAATTGACATTGTAGTTGACGTTGTTGTTGGAGTTATAGTTATTGTTGTATGTGGAGTTGTATTTAGTTATCATTGTAGTTGACTTTGTCGTTGCAGTTTTTGTTGTCGTTGCTGTTGTAGTCGTTGTTGGAGTTGTAGTTAGTTATCATTGTGGTAGACATTGTTGTTGGAGTTATAGTTATCGTTATAGTTGGGGTTGTACTTAGTTAACACTGTAGTTGATATTGTTGTTGGAGTTGTAGTTATTGTTGTAGCCGGAGTTGTACTTAGTTATCACTGTAACCGACGTTGTCGTTGGAGTTGTAGTTATCGTTATAGTTGGAGTTGTATTTAACAATCGTTGTAGTTGACGTTGTCGTTGAAGTTGTAGTTATCGTTGTAGTTGGTGTTGTACTCAGTTATCATTGTAATTGACGTTATCGTTGAAGTTGTAGTGATTGTTATACTATTGTAGTTGTACTTAGCTATTATTGTAGTTAATGTTGTCGTTTGCAGTTGTAGTTGTCGTTGTAGTTGTACCTAGTTATCATTGCAATTAATGTAGTCGTTGGAGTTGTAGTTATCGTTGTAGTTGGAGTTGTAGTTATCGTTGTAGTTGGAGTTGTATTTAGTTATCATTGCAGTTAATGTTGTCGTTGGAGTTATACTTAGTTATCATTGCAGTTAATACTGTCGTTGGAGTTGTAGTTATCGTTATAGTTATCGTTGGAGTTGTAGTTATCGTTATAGTTATCGTTGGAGTTGTAGTTATCGTTATAGTTATCGTTGGAGTTGTAGTTATCGTTATAGTTATCGTTGGAGTTGTAGTTATCGTTATAGTTATCGTTGGAGTTGTAGTTATCGTTATAGTTATCGTTGGAGTTGTAGTTATCGTTATAGTTATCGTTGGAGTTGTAGTTATCGTTATAGTTATCGTTGGAGTTGTAGTTATCGTTATAGTTATCGTTGGAGTTGTAGTTATCGTTATAGTTATCGTTGGAGTTGTAGTTATCGTTATAGTTATCGTTGGAGTTGTAGTTATCGTTATAGTTATCGTTGGAGTTGTAGTTATCGTTATAGTTATCGTTGGAGTTGTAGTTATCGTTATAGTTATCGTTGGAGTTGTAGTTATCGTTATAGTTATCGTTGGAGTTGTAGTTATCGTTATAGTTATCGTTGGAGTTGTAGTTATCGTTATAGTTATCGTTGGAGTTGTAGTTATCGTTATAGTTATCGTTGGAGTTGTAGTTATCGTTATAGTTATCGTTGGAGTTGTAGTTATCGTTATAGTTATCGTTGGAGTTGTAGTTATCGTTATAGTTATCGTTGGAGTTGTAGTTATCGTTATAGTTATCGTTGGAGTTGTAGTTATCGTTATAGTTATCGTTGGAGTTGTAGTTATCGTTATAGTTATCGTTGGAGTTGTAGTTATCGTTATAGTTATCGTTGGAGTTGTAGTTATCGTTATAGTTATCGTTGGAGTTGTAGTTATCGTTATAGTTATCGTTGGAGTTGTAGTTATCGTTATAGTTATCGTTGGAGTTGTAGTTATCGTTATAGTTATCGTTGGAGTTGTAGTTATCGTTATAGTTATCGTTGGAGTTGTAGTTATCGTTATAGTTATCGTTGGAGTTGTAGTTATCGTTATAGTTATCGTTGGAGTTGTAGTTATCGTTATAGTTATCGTTGGAGTTGTAGTTATCGTTATAGTTATCGTTGGAGTTGTAGTTATCGTTATAGTTATCGTTGGAGTTGTAGTTATCGTTATAGTTATCGTTGGAGTTGTAGTTATCGTTATAGTTATCGTTGGAGTTGTAGTTATCGTTATAGTTATCGTTGGAGTTGTAGTTATCGTTATAGTTATCGTTGGAGTTGTAGTTATCGTTATAGTTATCGTTGGAGTTGTAGTTATCGTTATAGTTATCGTTGGAGTTGTAGTTATCGTTATAGTTATCGTTGGAGTTGTAGTTATCGTTATAGTTATCGTTGGAGTTGTAGTTATCGTTATAGTTATCGTTGGAGTTGTAGTTATCGTTATAGTTATCGTTGGAGTTGTAGTTATCGTTATAGTTATCGTTGGAGTTGTAGTTATCGTTATAGTTATCGTTGGAGTTGTAGTTATCGTTATAGTTATCGTTGGAGTTGTAGTTATCGTTATAGTTATCGTTGGAGTTGTAGTTATCGTTATAGTTATCGTTGGAGTTGTAGTTATCGTTATAGTTATCGTTATAGTTATCGTTGTAGTTGTAGTTATCGTTGGAGTTATCGTTGGAGTTGTAGTTATCGTTATAGTTATCGTTGTAGTTGTAGTTATCGTTATAGTTATCGTTGCAGTTGTACCTAGTTATCGCTGTACTTAACGTTGCTGTTGTAGTTATCGTTGCTATTATGGTTATCGTTGTAGTTGTAGTTGTCGTTGTATTTGCCTTTCCAGTTGACGTTGTCGTTGCACTTATCGTTGCAGTTGTCCTCGCAGTTATCGTTGTAGATGTAGTTATAGATATCGTCGTCGTCGTCGTCGTCGTCGTCGTCGTCGACGTCCAGACGTTGCTCGATAATCTTCGACGAATTCATCGGCCGTTATCTCGCAATAACGAGGCAGCGGTCTCGCAACTGCCAAAGGAAAACAGGGTCTTGAGAACACTCGTCGGTGGATCCGTGGTCAATCGGCCGTCGGATCGTTAAAAAACCGTCTCGACTTCCGTTTCCTGTGCCGACGTTGAATGCACCGCGCGCACCGGTTAGTTATCGAGCTCTCAGTCTTCGGTCTTGCGTTCCATCGACAATCGACGACGGAATAAGGGATGAAGTCGAGGGAATTACGAATGAAGAGATGTCTGCGAAATCGCGGCTCGGCAGAGCACTGCGCCGGTGTTTTCTGAGGAGGATCGTGGCTGGGTATCGAACGTTTAATTAAATGGAATTATATCTCGGCCGCGGATAGCGCTATATTTATGGCAATTTTCTCTCTCCCCCTTTTTGTCTTCTAACTACCACTTCGGAATGGACTCGGTTGATAATAATCTGATGGCCGCAGATGGCCGAACCAAGTGCGCTCCGTGGTTTCTTCTTGATCGCTCCGACGTTCTGTCGTAATAAATTATGGCTGCCTCGTCCTTTGGGAACGTCGAGCAAGAGCGATCGAACGAGAACAATACGCGAACAACAGCAATAATCGATGCGAGCAATATCGAGCAATAGATAATTAATAGGAAATAATAGTAAATATAATAATAATAATAATAATAATAATAATAATAAATATAATAATATAATAATAATAATAAATATAACAATTAATAAAATCAATATATAATCAATATTTAACCGAAAAAAAATTATATATACTTTAGCTGTCTTATCTATTAATAATAATAATAATAATAATAAATATAATAATAGAATCAATATATCATCAATATATAATCAAAAAAATTATATATACTCAATATATGGAAATTATATATAATTTAGCTCTCTCTCTCTCTCTCTCTCTCTCTCTCTCTCTCCTAAAATTGGAGCTGGAAATATCTCATTTTTATAGTTATCGACAACTATCGATAACTACAAAAA